CATCACTCCACTTGTGCCTTTGAACTTACACATTCTGTTCTCTAGAATGCCAACTGAGATCAGATTCCTTGTAATCTCTGGCATGTATCTGACCTCACTTAACACGAATGTAGTGCTGTATGGATTCTGAAATCTCACCGAGCCAATGCCCCTGACCTCTGTGTGTGAATTATTTACCATTCTGACATTTCATGTGTTCATCTCCTTTAACTCGAAGAAGTAATCTCTTACTGAAGTCATATGGAATGAACAGCCAATGTTCATCATCCATTCGTCCTTGTCAGATTCTTGCATCATATTCATCTCACAAGCAATCAACCTGGCTAAGTCTTGAGCATTGTCTCTGATCATCGCAGACTCTCCTCTCTCTTGTGTCTGAGTACTGCACTTATTTCTCTAAAGCCATTTGTAGCACTGCTTCTTGTAGTGCCCTTCCTTGCCATAGATCAAACACACTTTCTTCCTCTTTGATGATTTAGATCTTGATATGTTGTCCTTGTGCTTCTCTTTTTCATAACGATCACCTCTAGAATCAGACCTTCCCCTGGCATAGTGTCCCTCTCCACTAGACCTGTTGTTCACTGGACTATCTTTGAACTCTTTTTTCTAAGACCTAGCAGCTAGAATACTTCCTCTACCATAATGGACTCTATTCCATACTTAAGAATCTCTTTCAGCTGGTCATACCTTGCTGGAAGAGCGTTCATGAGCAGTATGGCTTGCACTTCTTTGGGAACTTTGTTTCGCAGATGGCTAAGTTCTGCAACAAGCTTCAAGAAATCATCCATGTTTTCGTCTATCATACGATGATTCGGCATCTTGAAACTGTAAAACTGGAGCTGCGCATGGATGCAATTTGGCAACAATCTTGGCATGTAAAGCTTTTCCAGTAACGTCCACGCTGCAGCTGCTGTTTCGCACCATTCAATCTTTCTCAGACCTGATCGGTCACACTGAGGAAGATCATGTGTAGTGCCCTTTCACATCGCTCGGCTCTGATTGGATCGGATTTGATCTTCACATTTTCTTGGTCTTGTGCCGTTCCTGACACTGATGGAATGGTCGCCGAAGGTGAGAGAAACGTCAGTGAAGTCGTTGCCGCCGTTTGAGTGACCGCTGAAGCCACCGTCTGAGTCACCAAAGATCTGCTCGAGATCGAGCATACATCCTCCGTCTCCACATCGAGAAGTCGACGTTGCCATCAAACTTCTCGATTTTCGTCAAAGTTTACAACCCGAATCGATCTTCTATGATCTCTTGCTCGCGATTCACCGAAACCCCAAATCCAAAGCTCTGATACCATTTTGTATGATCCTAAGATCGAATTGTCTTCGATTGATTCGATAAACAAGAAAAATAATACTAAGAGACAACACGATTTAACGAATTCAGAACTGTGAGATACTTTACATCTCTCTTGAGGCTTTTTCGGAATCCACTAACACGGTCGAACCAAACTAACAGTTGTCTGATTACAATTTTCTCAATTTCTCTTAAGTACTGGCTGGAAAAGATCTAATACCAAAAAAGAAGAAGATGGAGGACTTTATCTCAAATGATTACAATAATCATTCTCACATGTATATTATACATGTGTTACTCCTGATTTAACATAACCAACTGAACCTATCTAGTCCCTCTTAATTTAATTCTCAACTGTAATTGAACCCGAGTTTATTAAAGAACAAAATCTTCATACAATTTCTGTAATTTCATGAAGCTGTATATTAAAATCACTAACGACCTTGACACCCAGTTTCTTAACTTATTTTTATCGCCAACTTTGACAATTGGTTTAGTTAACCGGCTAAGAAATTTATTTCACCCACCATATATATACATACTTTACGCGTGGACTGGAAGCGTAGGATTTGTATAAGGAAGTAGGCGTGGAGGTCGGGGTGGACTGGTGGGTATCCAATTCGTATTTAGCTTAGTGTCCAAGCCGTCTCCTATTTGAGGTTGAAGTCATAGGGAGAGTAGATCACGGCCAAAAAGTAGAGATTGCCAACCGTACGAAGGTTGGGAACCTCTGTTTGCCGAGAGTAGTGTTCCATAACGAAAATACCGGCTAGCGAGAACTTTATATAACAGACAGTGTGGTCGTTGGTGGAGTTTCCAGACTTGGTTAGCAAGTAAGGCTTGGTTGAATTTGTGTAAATCACAAAAGCCGAGACCCCCTCTAGATTTCGGAGTAGATAATTTTTGCCAAGAAACCCATGAAATTTTTCGGTGTTCTGTTGATCCTCCCCACCAGAAACGGGATAGTAAACTATCAAGATTAGAGCATAGTTCTTTAGGGAGCTGGAAGCAATTCATCGAGTATACTGGCATAGCAAAAGCAACTGATTTGATTAAAGTTTCTTTGCCAGCCGTAGAGAGAAATCGGTTTTGCCAACCATTAATCTTGCCAAGGACATTCTGTTTAATGTATTGAAACATCTCCTTTTTCTTGCATCCAAACTGCTCCGGTAGACCAAGATATTTACCCCCCCCCCCCCCCCTCTTCCCCCCCCCCCTTCCGACATCAAGAAGTTGTTTGATACTCTCGCGAGTGTGGTTGAAAACTTTATCCCCAAAAGTGATAGCTGATTTATCAAAATTTATGATCTGACCAGAAGCTTTCCCATATAAATGAAAAATCTGAGCTAGATTCTGACTATTTCGAAGGTCGGCTTTTAAAAAGAAGAGAGAGTCATCTGCAAATAGAAGATGAGAAATGGGAGGACCGCCAATGCTCAATCGTATAGGTTGAATGGCTTGGGACCTTGTTGCTTCTTCAATCGAAGAGCTCAGAACGTCCGCACATAATATAAAGAGGTAAGGAGAGAGCAGATCACCTTGTCTAAGACCTCTCTTGGGAGTGAAATTTCCGTATGGACTACCGTAATCAAAACAGAGAAAGATACAGAAGAGACGCATGCCATTATCCATTGTATCCAAATCTCCGAGAAACCTTTTTTACGCAGGACGACTTGAAGAAAATTCCATTCTATACGATCATAAGCTTTGCTGATATCAGTCTTTACTGCCATATAAGACTTTGCACAAATTTTGGAGATGACTTTGTAAAGAACATTGCAAAGAGCAATTGGTCGAAAATCCTTCATTGTTGAAGGGGGTTCTAGCTTAGGCAGGAGGCAGATATTTGTGTGATTTAGTTCTGGTTCCATGACGCAGTTGAGAAGAAACGTCGAGTATATTCTACTATATCGGGACCAACAATATCCCAGTAAGTGTGAACGAAATTCGCAGTGAATCCATCAGGACCGGGAGCTTTTGTGCCCCAATTGAGAATATTGCTTGTTTGACTTCTTCGGTGCTGATATCCTGAAGTAGTGAGGCATTCATTTCTGCTGTAACGACCGAAGTAATATTTGCTAGAGCTCTGTCGATGTCTGTTATTGAGGAAGTGGATGTAAAAAGTTTAGAAAAGTATTGTATCCCTTCCCTTGCAATAGCTCTATTTCCGAAAAGATCTATGCCTGAGCTGTCTTTGATACTGGTGATTTTGTTCCTTGCATGACGGTTTTTTGTTGTAGCAAGGTAGAACCTAGTGTTGCGATCACCTTTAGTTAACCAAATATTTTGACTTTTAATATACCAATACTGTTCTTCGTCTTTATAAGCTGTTAGAAGTTCTGTGCGCATAATTCAAAGATCCTCCGTAGAAACAGAGGCGTTAGTATGTGCCTGATCAAGTTGGCGGATAAGATCTTTAATATGTTTTGCAGAGTTAGATGGAGTCGATCTCTTCCAAGCAGATATAGCACGGCGACAATGTTGAATTCGATCTGAAAGGAGATTTGACCCATAAGAACTAGCGGAAGACCAACCATCTCGTATAATTTGTTCAAAAGCTTCATTACGACAGAGTCTCGAATCATAGCGAAAAGACTTGCGACCAGAGTCTGATTCTTTCCGTATTTTGATGATTGCAGGGCGATGGTCAGACTCAATTAGTTCGAGGTACTCAACCGAAGATGCTGGATAAGTAGCCCTCCATTCATCGTTTGCTAAAGCCCGATCAAGCCAACTCGTGATCGTTAAATTTCCCCTTCGTTTACCAACCCAAGTCATGTTGTTTCCTGAGGTCTTTGACGCGACAATTATTAACCATGTTGCGAAAATCAGCTAAACTCCACGGTTCTTTAATTCTCCCCCCCCCCCCTTTAGTTTCATTAGCGTTAAAAATCTCATTAAAATCGCCACACATAAGCCACGGACTACTTCTATTTGCAGATAATCTCTCTAACTTTTCCCATAGATGATGTCTTAAGCTACGAATGGGATGACCATAAATGCAAGAGAAGTAAAAAGAAAACTCTTTATTATTTATGGTACAATCGAGCATTCTTACATCAACTGAATGAAAAACAACATTCACATTCTTGTTCCATAACAGACCTAAACCACCACCAATACCCTGAGGAGAAACACACTTAACAAAATCATAACCAATTTATGCAGCCACATCACAGATTACGTCATCAAAGTTCTTCGTCTCGACCAGAAAGAGTAAATCCGAGGAATAAGAAGTCTTAATCCCTTTAAGGCGTTGAATTACCAGAGACCTTTTCAAGCTCTCGTAGTTCCAAAACGCTATATTCATTTTGACATCAAATTTTATTATTCTGTTTTAATCTTAAAATATACCGAGCATCCCTAAGTTTTGATATAAATATATATTTTTTTTAAATCTCATTTTTGCTAAAAGAACAAAATCGATTATATAAACTTTAGTTTTAATAAGGATATCTGTCCATCTCCAATTCCAGTTCTTATAAGCTTTTGCAAAAGCCAACAAAACATAATTAATTTATCTAATTTGTTGTAAATCCATGTATATATAATTTATACGAAGCTGATTGATAACTATTAGGAGGGTCCCCAAAATAATTATCTAGTACTGTATATTAAATAATATACAATCAAACAAACAGATTGATGATAACGCATACTTTCCTTCGTGCCCTGCTAAAAGATATATACTAAACATGCATGTATACATTTATCTACAACTTTGACAATTGGTTTAGTATCACAATTAGCTTTGGATTCGGTTCAGTTTTAAATTTAAGAGTAAAATAGAAAGAAAGGAGGAAGCAACAACATACGAAGGGACAACAAAGACAACTTCTCTCGTCTTAAATTTGCTTTTCTCTTTTCTTAACATCTCTGTATGCACACATTCACGTAATAATATTCACAAGTTTCTCTTTCTCTCTTTCTCTCTCTCTAGAATATCTTTATTACTATAGTTTCGTGTTGTGTGTGATTCGTACCTCTTTGCTAACATAGCTATTAAATTCTGTCTTTGGAAACTGCTCTTTTGATTGACTTTTTTTTTCTTTAAATCAGTTTCCAATTTATTTTCTTCCTTTTTGTTGTTGTCAAATTTTTAAATTTTGAATATACTATCATTATATATTGCCTGGTTAAATGTGAATTTACCTATATTACTATTCTCTCTTCCTAATAATCTCCAGATTCTATTCCCATTTGATTTTTGTGTGCTTCGCTTCGCTTTCCTCATTCTCATCATCTGCAGAAAAAAAAGTGGTTTGTTTTCTCTCTTTTAACCTTTTGCCCTCTTTTCTCCGCAATCGGTTTCTTCTTTGAATGTGTTTGTGGAAGAATCAAACCTGAAGCGTTTTCTTTTTCTCTCACCAAACCTTTTCAGATCGATTTCTTTTCTCTATCTCTGTTTTGATTTTATTATTTTTCTGGGTTTGTGGGTTTCACCTCAAGCTTGATCGAAATTGGTGAAATCTGTTTGGTGGGTCTGTGTGTGTGTGTTTTGTTCATCCTAAAAGCTTGATTTTTTCTGGTTTTGGAGGAATAAAGTTAGTTTTTTTGCAATGGGTTTTTAGGCTGGATCTCTGTCTTTAGGAACCTGTTTTAAGTGTTTGTTTTCGACAGAAGGTTATCTTCCTCCTTCTATGTGATGTGTTCAGTTGTTTATTTTCTGATTTCTCTTGTTGATTTTTTTTATATAACAAGGCTTTTTCCATTAACGTTGTTGATTTTATATTGCGAATTGAAGATTGGTGAAGTTTTGATCTTTATCTTATTTCACTGTTGCTATTATTGTTGTAGCTGTGCAAATTGTTTTTCGTTCTTCTCACCAATATAGCTCTACTCTGTTGCAAGTGCCATTGGTTTTCTTCTTCTATGGACTGTTTGATTTTGAAGTTCTGGTGTCAAATTGATAATGCAGCTTTTGTAATTGATTAACCAAGTAAAAAAATGGAATTTAGTTTGTAGTCTTAAGATTAGGCATTGCATATTGCATCTTGAATTGATTAGTTGCATCTTTATTTGGCTGAGTGAGATTCCTTTATGCTCCACATCGTCGATCACCATTAGCTTATGCTTAATTGTGTTATCAAATTCTTCCAATTACATTATTACAAAGCTCATATCTTTTGTGTTTGTTACTAAAAGATGTTTCCTCTTTGTTTTTGCTGTAGTTTCCAGCATCAGCTACATTGCAGAAGGTGGTGAGGATCTCTTGAACTCTTAAAGTGTCAAACTTTGGTTTAAAGCAAGGATGCAAGGAGAGAGAGCAAGTCTCGGTTCTTTATCAGAGACCTTGAACTTTGAGCATGGCTCGACATCTATTAATGCTGCTGTGATGGATCAGCAGATTCGTTGGGAGAATATTCACAATCTTGGTGATAATCAATTGCATGATTACATGATTCCACCTCCTGCTACAACAACAACTACTTTCCCAATCTCGGTATCTCATGAGCAACGGGACTTACACAGGTTTAGCCTCGGTGAGGCTAGCTCTAGTGGTGTGCAATGGATGCAAATGGGACGTTTTGAGGAACGGAGAAACGACAAGCCTGAGCTGAACCCTTCTTTGTTTATGCAACGGCCTAGTGGAAACCGCGTTGTTCGAAATGTCAATCTGAATGCAGAGTATAATGAGCATCTTGTGGATATGAATCAGGTCACAGGTCCTCCCGGTGTTTTTCAGGTTAATGGACCAGAGAACAGTGTTAGAGCCGGTTCATCTGTAGATGGACGCCGTGTATCCGTTAAAAGAAAGGCTATTGACGCCGGCATTGGTCAGCCGTCTTCAAGCGGAGGAGGTTTCCGTGAGTTTCACAGCGGTGAGGGCAGTGCTTGGGTCTCGGCTCCTCCGTTTTATAGTCCACCAAGTAATGATTTGAACATATCTCTTGACCATGGTCCTAGAGGATTGGTCTCTCAGAGCAGATCTCCTGCTTCTTCCATCACAGGGAACTTCTCTGTCAGGGTTAATCCCAATGCTCAGCAAGAAACTGTAAGCCCGGCTGCCTTTTCTCCTGGAAGTGGTATCAGGCGACAGGTTGCTCCAGCGTCGAGATTACCAAGACCAGATCAACAACCGATCGACACGAGAGACCAACATTTTGCTCCTCAGAATCCGAATGCTTCTGCTATTCCTATGCCTCATGTTACAAGAACCATGATGCCGCCATTTCAGTGGAGTGTGCCGCCAGTAGCAGCAGGCGGATCATCATCGAGCTCTGCTCCTACCATTAACAGAAACGTCGTCCCTCGAGTTGAAACCAGACAAAGAAGCAACATTCCAGAGAGTCCCTTGTTTGGTCCACCTCCTGAAATGATGAATCTTTCCCACAGTCATGTTGCTGCATCGTCTTCATCCAGGACAAGCGTTCAGCCATCACCTCCGGTGGCTGCAGCATTGAATCCTCACCAGGGTTACTCGCCAGCTAGTCAAAGAAGGTTATCATCTGCACGGTCGTTGCTTACTTCCCTTGCTTCAAACCATAGAGCTGCACGTTCCTTCTCTGTCCGTCCTGTCTCTCAGGATCAGCAAATGCTTCAGCCTGATGGTGATAACACCTTCCAGGCTCAGAACCGGGCTTACTCGAGAGCCAGTTCAAGACAAGTACCAACTGCAGTTGGCATTCCTCATTCTTTGCGTGGCTTGGCGTCCACAAGCCGAGGAAGAAGCAGACCTGCCTCATCCGAGGTTAGTTTCATATAAAGATTAGTGTTTCCTATGGATAGATTTTTGTTCATTTCTATAGTTTTCTTGAGAAACTACTTACATAGAGCTGACACTGTGCTTCTGTTTTGAAACAGATCCGTAATGTCTTAGATCACATGCGTAGGACAGGGAACTTGCGTATGGAGGTACTTGAAACTTCTATAAATGCTACTTGTTTTCTATTTGTACATATTCATATCTTGCTGTTTTCATATTTGTTCACAAATCTTGTTAGATGAAAACTAGTCAACTAAGCAAATCTTTAGATAACTTGATAGCTGTTTAATGATCTTGTGCTGATTTATACAGGATGTTATGCTTCTCACTCAGATGGGGCTAGGTGGAGCTGATATTCATGACCGGTATAGAGGCATGCGCCTTGATGTTGACAACATGACATATGAGGTAAAGCTAGAGCAAACCCCATAAATCATTTAGTTTGCTCATTATATTAACCGTGAGTATATATCAAATCTTGCAGGAGTTGTTGTCTCTAGAAGAGAGGATCGGAGATGTTTGTACTGGTCTAAGTGATGAAACCATATCAAGCCGATTGAAGCAAAGAAAATACAATAGTGGCACCAAAGCTCCACAAGAAGTAGAGCCATGCTGTATTTGTCAGGTAAATAATATCAGATTTTACTGGTCTTTCAAGATTTGTGTCACTTTTGAACAATCTTATTCAGCTTGGTGCAAATACTGCAGGAGGAATACAATGAAGGAGAGGAAGTGGGAAAGCTCGATTGTGGGCACGAGTTCCATTGCCAATGCATCAAAGAATGGCTGAAGGTGAAGAATCTTTGCCCAATCTGCAAAACAACAGGATTAAACACTGCAGAGAAGCCAATAAGATGAATGATAGAAAGACCTTAATCTGTTTGAGGTTTTTCTCACTATTGCAGCCTCATCAAAACACCATGGGCAAGATTGGGTCTTAAGCCTTTTTATGCATTTGGTGTTCTGAGTATGAGGTTTGATGATTTGGGAGGTTGCCAAAAGATAGGGATGAAGGGGAAGTAACTGAGGGAGCTAGGAAGGAAATGAGGGTGAATCTAATGAAAAACTTGGGTTCTTTCTTGAATTTGTTTGGATAATTTAATTTTTACCAATTAGACTTTGTTTTTCCTTATATTACTCAGTAAAACTGTAAAAGAACTAAGAAAGTTTGTCAGCCAATTTGGCAAATTTATAGATTTTATGGATGATTGATTTTGTAATATAGCATTATTGTATCGTAAGTTGATCTATCAACATAGCAAATTGATATGCATTATTTTGTTTCCAAGTTCTAGATCATGTTTCCGCTGATTTGGTTTAGTTAAACCGAGTCATAGTGTTTACTTTTTCTAAACCGTTAAATAACCAGTTCTATGCCCAATTAAGTCAGTACCTGGTAAGTTTACCCTAATTTCTAGTTTAGTTTGATTCTGAATCAGATTAATTTGGTTAAACCGAATTTGGTTTGTTTTTAAATCGGGAATAAAATTGATTCATGGACCGGTTTGATTAGAAATTTAAAATTAAGGTCAGTGTGGATACAGAAATCTACATTCAGAAATTTATGCGTTTTTGTAAGGAAATAACTTTAGAGGATTAAATGCTAGATTCTCTCGAACAGATTGACAGTATAAGCAAACACTAACTGAAATAAGGATTTGGTATTAATCGATTGAATGAAATGGTTACAAAGATTTCGATGAAGAAGACGAACTGAAAAGAGCTCTGGGAGTAGTTACAGAGCTTTCGGGTGTAAAAAATGTAAAAGAAGATCAAGCCGAATGTGTTTTAAGAAGAGAGAGATCTCCCCAAAACTTGGCAGTTTGTGTCCTTTATATAGCTTGTCTCGTCGAGGTTCAACCTCCAGCGCGTATCTCGGCCACCCGCAGCAGCTTCAGCCGGAAATCTCGGCCACGTGCAGCAGCTTCAGCTGGAAATCTCGGCCACATGCATCAGCTTCTCCCGGAAATCTCGCGCTCGTTTGAACTAGTGAGAATATGCTCTGACTTGGTCCAGATTCTTCTTTATTCTTCGGGACGAGGTCGGGCTGGAGCTCGACCTCGACGAATGGAACACTGATTTGACCTGGGCCGTATGGATGAGGCCCAGTCAACTGAACTTAGTTTTAGGATATTGTTGTTTGGCTTAAGTGGGCCGGATTTGGGGTGACAAATCCTGCTCCAACAATTGCCCCTCAGACCATTAATGAAAACGCGTTCGAGCTTTAATGGGCGGCGAGTGGTTTCTTTCTAGAAGATTTCGTATCTCGCGTGTTGTTGCCATGATGGTAAGTAATCATTAAGGATCAATGGTCGAGGCTACGAGAGACGAAGGATCCATCAGATCATACGGTCGAGGTCGATCTCCAAGATCGTAGCTCGAACGACAAGATCCAGTGGCTGTTATCTTTTGTTTCAAAATTATCTTAGCCCGAAAGGGCTTTATTTTGGAAGAATTTGGGCATTGGTGCCTTTGCATTATTTCCACCTCTTGCTTTCGGTTGTTCGAGTTGAACTTTTGCCTAGTCATTTGTTGACTTAAGAGATCTGGACCGAGATCGTTAAGCTTGCAGCTTGATTCTTTGGATCGTAAGCTCGCCAGATCGGATGAAATGATCTAGTAGCGGAGTGCGATCCATTCCTTCTCTGAAATGTGGCTAAGTGTTTTAGCTAGACTTTGGACTTAGTTGATTTCCTTAGGAAAGAAGGAAAGTCGAACTGCTTCGCGATGAAGTTTTCGTATTCGAGGTAGGGTTTTTCTAAGTTGTTTGGTAACTTAGGGAGGGTTACCGAGCTCGAAGCTCAGTTTGCTAGTCGTGAGCTCGATGCTCGAGCTGTTAGCTGCGAGTTCATTGCTCGATTTATTAGACCAGACATAACGATTAGGTCGTGGAATACAACCCATTTATTTGAAAAAAGTGGCTAAGTTTTTAGCTCGACTTTTGTTTAAGAAGGTCGAACTGCTTCACGATGAAGTTTCGGTGTTCGAGGTGGAGTTTGCTTTCCTTTGAACAAGGAATTTCTCAGTTTCGGCTTTGAGATGGAAAAGGGGGTTCGATTTTACTCTTAGTTTCCAGACATAGAGCTCAGTCATTCCTGGAGAATTGCGAGCCGCGTTAGAGCTCGATGATTTGAGGTCCGGAGCTTGGCTATGCTTGGAGTCGAGTTGTAAATATGGCCGCGCCTGTGAAGTAGAGTTGGACTCCAGACTTAGATAGTTTGCGAAATGAGAAACGTGTACCTTGTGTTTTTTGGAAAGGCATCTAGGATAGGTGCCTCCCCCCCCCCAAAGAAGGTCGAACTGCTTCACGATGAAGTTTCGGGAGTTTGCTTTCCTTTGAACAAGGAATTTCTCAGTTTCGGCTTTGAGATGGAGAAGGGGGTTCGATTTTACTCTTAGTTTTCAGACATAGAGCTCAGTCGTTCCTGGAGAATTGCGAGCCGCGTTAGAGCTCGATGATTTGAGGTCCGGAGCTTGGCTATGCTTGGAGTCGAGTTGTAAATCTGGCCGCGCCTGTGAAGTAGAGTTGGACTCCAGACTTAGATAGTTTGCGAAATGAGAAACATGTACCTTGTGTTTTTTGGAAAGGCATCTAGGATAGGTGACTGGCCCATCAAAACCGGCCCGTTTGTCGCCAAATCCGGCCCGTTAACTGGCCCATCAAAACCGATCTTGAAGGATGTCCACATTCCGAATGCAAGGCCCAACAAAAGAAAGGAAGGATAAGAAGAGAACGGTTGAAAAGGATGACGCGAGATCCGGAGCTCGTGCGGGATACAGATCACGAGATACGCGCTGAAACTAACGAAGTGGGAAGAATATTTAAAGAAAATATAGACGAACTAAAATACATTATTCGCTCTACGAGCTCTTGCACCAAACTATATTGATCTCTTGTAAACGATCACTTGATTCAATCAATAAAAGTCCATTTATCTATTCTCGATCTTAAGTTCAGTTGCTCAAATAGAGATTCTTACCCATCGTTTTCCTAATATCATCTAAACACTTCATAAATCTTTGAGTGTGGATATCTGCATCCACAGTCGATTTATCTGCGAGTGCAGTTGGCACTGTGTGGATTGTTGATTCCTGAGTATTTTGTGAGGAGGTCGGGTTCGACTCCGCATCTTCTGGTGGAGAATTAGTTGGCCCATCCTCGTCGAGATGGTCAGCTGCGTTGGATGCTCCCAGATCTTGGGACTGTTGTGTTTGTGACCAGGTTGATGGTCGCATGGTAATTGCGCTCACAGTCGGAGTTTTGAGTGCTAGATCTATGCGAGGTTTCTCAATTCCTTCGAATGGAATTATTCGCTTTACCGCTGGGTCCGAGGTGGAAGCTAGAGCTGCTAAAGCGTCTGCTGCTGTATTTTTACCTCGGATATGTGGACGAGCTCGAAACGAGTGAACTGTTCTGCGAGGCTGCGAACTATGGTTAAGTAGGCCTCCATGCGTTCCTCTCTCGTCTCATACTCGCCGCTGTAATAACCGGTTACGAGTCTCGAGTCGCTGTGAGCTTTGATCTCACTTGCACCGACACCGATTACGAGCCGAAGCCTGGCTATTAGTGCTTCGTACTCGGACTCATTGTTAGACGAGGTGAATCCAAGACGAAAAGGTTATTCCATTACTTCTCCGGTTGGAGAAGTGAGCTGGACCCCGACTCCAGAGCCTTGTTTGTACGATGCTCCGTCGACGTTGAGAGTCCAGGTTTTGGAGGATGAGCTTTCGGAGCTAGCATCTGCAGCCAGCTTGACCATAAAGTCTGCCAGGTCCGGGGCTTTGACGCATGTCCTGGTCTGATATTCGATATCGTACTCGCTGAGCTTAATGGCTCATTTCACGAGGCGTCACGACTGGTTGGGACTGTGGAGTATAGTTCGCAGAGGTTGCGAGGTCATTACCACGATTGAGTGCGACTGAAAGTAAGGTCGAAGCTTGCGAGCTGACATTACTACAGCTAGTGCTAATTTTACATAGCTGGATACCTAGTCTCGGCATCGTTAAGCGTTTTACTTATGTAAAAGATTGATTTTTGCTCGTTGAGCTCTTCTCAAACCAGTACGCCGCTTACTGCAGCTGGAGAGACTGCTGTATAAAGGTATAAGGGTTCTCCTTCGATTGGTTTAGCTAGGATGGGGTGCTCGGTGTGATAGGTTTTGAGTTGGGTTAATGCCTCCTCGCATTTCTCGTCCCACTGGAATTTTGTGTTTCCTTTAAGGAGCTGGTAGAATGGGAGACACTTGTCGGTTGACCGCAAGATGAACCGGTTGAGGGCTGCAACCCAACCGGTCAAGCGTTGTACTTCCCGAGTTGTTCTGGGAGATGGCATTTCGAGGAAAGCCGTGATCTGCTTTGGGTTCACCTTGATTCCTCGTTCGGTTACCAGATAACCGAGTAATTCTCCTGAGGCGACTCCGAAGGTACATTTAGCTGGGTTGAGCTTCATCTCGTATTGGTTTAAGATTTTGAAGCATTCCCTAAGTTGTGCAACGTGGTCTGTGTCCTTTGAGGACTTCACCAGCATGTCGTCTATGTAAACTTCCATAGTTTTACCAAGCTGGTTAGCAAACATTTTGTTCACTTGCCTTTGATAGGTTGCTCCCGCGTTTTTTCAGGCCAACATGTATTACTTTATAGCAGTAGGTACCTCGATCGGTAATGAAGGCTATTCTTTCTTGGTCTTCTGGATTCATCTTGATCTGAATGTATCTAGAAACAACATCTATAAAGGACAAGAGTTGGTTGCCAGCTGTGGCCTCGACCAGGCGGTCGATGTGTGGAAGTGGGAAGCTGTCTTTTGGAAACGCGTTGTTTAGGTCGGTGAAGTCGACACAGACTCTCCACTTTCCATTTTTCTTTTTGACGACCATGGGGTTTGCTTACCAGTCGGGGTATTTCACCTCCCTGATCGATCCCACTCTGATAGTCTGTCTACCTCGTCGTTGACTGCTTTAGCTCGATCTGGACTGAGCTTGCGTCGTTTCTGTCTGACGGGTTTGATGGGTTGGGTCGATGTTTAGCTCGTGTGCGGCGACCTCTGTGTCGATGCCCGGCATGTCCACAGTGGACCATGCGAAAGTGCTTATGTTTTTTTTTAGAAAGCTTATTAGCTCGTCGCAAATTGTCTTCGCGAGGTCGACCCTGATTCCAATGCACCTTTTGGGGTTGGCCTCGTCTATGCATACTTGCTCGATCAGTTATGTTCGAGGTTCGCATACGGAGGGGTCTTTATTGTGTTTGAGTTATCGGACTGCGAGCTCCTCCTCTTTT